GTTTATGGTGTGTAGTTCTTTCTACTCCAAACCTGTCTACCATTGTAGATATTTTCATTGGGCATGGAGGTTAGCTAAACAATGGTACAAAAGTCATCATTAGATCTTCAACTTTGCCTTATAGACCCACTCTCACATCAATCCCCTCACTCATCTTAACTATTCCACCACAAAATCCATACTTTAAATCACCCAAACTGCGACCACAAACTCTGAACTTTCAGTCCCTTTACTCATTCTCTTACTACCTGTTTCTGGACTTTACAAGAACCCCTTACCCTCTTTAACATTTTCCCCATCAAAATTCTCCTGTTTTTTTCTTTCCTTTACTGTCCAGTGAGATTCTTCAATCCATTACTTGAACTATTCTCTTGACAGTATTCATTGTTTCATTTTCTTTTGCCTACACTTCCTGTAAAATTCTACTTGTTGACCTTTTCTGTCTGAATCAAGGCTGCTGAGTACTCCTGGAAAAATTTTGACCAACACCATATTATCCAACTTGAACTAAGCAATCAATGCAGAGAAACACTCTTCCCAAATGTTTATTTCTGCATATCTTTTATTTCAAACCTTTATCATTAGCTTTTCCTCTTCCTACAAAGAGAATATAAAAGCATGTGGTTTCCTAATATGACCTATAAATTTAACTGGATAAACATGTATGTTTCCACATATTTATCATTTCTACTGCTTCTCTTTTCTTCCTGTATATCTTGGTTTCCATATGTTGACATTTCCCTTCATCCTGCAGATCATCATTATCATTTCTTGAAGTGCAAGTCCCTTCAAAACTAATATAATTTTTTCTTATCTAAAATTTTTGTTATTTGGACTTCAGGTCTTGAAAAACATTTTTAGTTACCAAATTCTTGGTTGATAGAGATTATTTATTTATTTTCAAATTTATTTAGGTACTTTAAAAATGTACTTTGATTGTAGTGGGATTCAGGACATGCTACCCCCAACCATGGGAAATTTTAGAAGCAGGAAGTTTACTCTCACTTTTCTCCCGCCCTTCTACCATGAAGCTGGTCATTAAGACTCTCATTGCAGAGGTAGCCCCCTCTATGCAGAGGAAGGGACTGTCTTTATTTCAGAAGACACAGAGACACAGAGAAGAATATGAACAAATAGGCATTGCTAAGTTTTCCCCAGTTAATTACTATTAGTTTATACTCCCTTTGTTCAACTATACTTCTCCACAACTATCCATTTCTTTATAAAATGTAGCGTAAAATACAGATTTTTCTGTTTCTTTAGGTCTTCATTTCCTTATAAAGTTTCTCTCGTCAAGTAAATTTATATTAAATAAATGTGTAATATTTGTTCTTGTTAATTTTTTTTGTTGTTGTTATAAGGATCTCAGCTGTAAACCTAATAATAAGGGAGAAACAAAATTTTTCCTCCTCTACGTTTGTCATCATTCCCTTATTGCTTCTGATGAGAAGTCAGCCATTGTGTCTATTGCTTCTTTAACATTTAATATGCATTTTATGTTTTTCTATCTGCATCAAAGATTTTTATTCTCTTGGCTTTTCTGCAATATTACCATTTTCTGCAATGAAATATACTTGGTACTATATTTCATATGTTGCAAAGAATTTAGGTTTATTTATCATCCTCTGAAGAGTATTAATATCTCTTCAAACAGATGGTTAATTTCACAAGACTCAAATTCCAATCTTGTTTCTCCTGTCATTCTTTCAGGCCTCCCACATTTGATTATAATAGAGTTCTTGGCATCTTGACCACACATGTGCTGTTCTGGGGCTTGCCAAGGATTTGGGTAAAGTTAGAATACAGATTTTTGTGGGATATCTCTTGTGGGTCGCTTTCTCTCTATCCCCATCCTTCCCTCTGCCCTACCAAACACCACATTCCATACACTGTGGTTGTGCACTTCATCTTCTTATTCATAAAGCTGTGGGTCTCTTTTTATATTACAGCAGCTATACAGCCAGTGGATTCACAGTGACTATAGTGGCAAGCCACATAAACATTAATTTCACTCTGCACAGTTCTATTCTTTCAAGAGTCAACTATTCTCTACTTTTGGCCTGCTTTTGGTTTCTCTAGTGCTTTCGAATAGTTGCTTTGAAAAATATTTTTTCAGATTTAATGATTGCTATCTGCAGTAGATTTACTTTGACTGAGGCTATTCTACCCTTTCCAGAAGCAAAATTTTGGCATTAAGTGTTAGTTCTATTGTCTGTATGTTCCTTATTTCATTGTTTACACTACAGAGAGCATCTTCTTCATACCTTTGCTTTGTGTCTCTGCATTTTTCTGCTTTGTAGAGATCCAAGACAAGTCCTAGAGTTGTAGTTTCTTTAATCTCCTGTTTTATCTTACTGAATTCCATATAAACCCATCAAAATTGTAACATTTCTAATATAAACAGATGTAATCTAACCTATCCTTTATTATCAGCAGGGAAAGAGGAATTTCAAGGTGCTCTTAAAGGAAAGATAAAGTTTTTCCATAATCAGCAACAGAACGGATGTTAACTTAGTAAATATTAAAAATGCTGACAATATATATTTGAAACATGTCAACATATTTCACCAGGTAAATACCTGGGATATTTAAATGGATTCACCATATTTCTTCAGAGAAATAAAGCATTAGAGATTTTTTGGCTGATTCAAGTGAAGTAATGCTTACAACTAATTTATCAAAACCAGTTACAGATTTTTGTGATTTTTTTCTTTACTCCCAATGATTCACTTGACTAGCAAAAACTAAAACAAATAAAACAAAATCTCAGCCCTTTTTTAATTGAGACACAGGCTGATTTTCTGTCCAGAATGAGAACGAATTATATACTTTTCCTCTCAGCTACATGGATGATCCATAATCTATTTCCATAATGTTTGAATTTGTTTTCGGAGTGCACCTATTGCTGGTTTTGATTTCCTACCTTTAATTATTATCTTTCAAGGCAACATGTTCCAGACTTTCTATTTATTTATTTTAAAATGATGTTTGTCCCTCCTCACTGTTCTTTGGATGATACTAGTTTCCTATTCAAACTAAGAGTTGGAGTATAGATTGAAGTTTATTACTTTTGCTCAGTTTGCCTACAAATTATCATCTAATTTGGCTCCCCAGGTTTAAGATTATTTCATACATTTGTTGTCTGCATTTTGGTCAATTTAAACATAACCTTCTTTAGTTAAGTATCAAAGATTTTCAACATAAACATGAATTATTGGGACTATACCTATCCCAATCTTGGTCTTAATGTTAAATGAACAACTTTTAAAATCCACCACCAAAACTACCATTTCCATTTCCTAAGTTCTTATCCATATTCTGTGGGCATTTCAAATCACAAATAGATGTAGAGATGTGCTGAGAAAGGTTGAAGTACAGATCACGCAGGTACTTAAAGCAGTGCCCTTAGAAGCCAATGCCTTTGGAGTATAACTTTCTTTCCTTATATACTTCACAACTCTGAATTCAGGGTAATATGATAGATGAAAATGAAATGTATTGTAGTCCTCTTTTGAGGAGCATATTTGCTCTGTTTTAAGCATCAACTTTCAAACTGAACAAAACTTTTTTAAAATTCATCTTCTTTTGTCTTATAGGTGTTAAAACAATCCCCCATGTGCTAGCACTATAAAGAAGCCTAGTATTATGTTTTTTTTTCAAGAATTATAATGATATATTTGGAAGAACTATAACTTGAATGATAAGCTTAAAATACTAGATGTATTTGTGTTCAAATATCCTCTCCCAGAAACAAAAGTCGTACCCAGAATAGAGAGCAAAATAAGGCATTTAAAATGTCATATTATACACAGACATCACAGACATATGCAGTTCTGGTATTCAACTATAAAACAGAAACCAGATTATCCAAATGTATGTTGTTTTCTCAATAAGAAACGTCTTACTCAAGTATCAGCCTACTGCTTCAAAAAGTCAATCAAAACTAAACTACAAGGAAAGTAGAAATTTAAATGCCAAATGAAGAGTTTAAAATTTAACATGAGATATGTAGGAAGAATGTTGGAATGAGAAAAGAAAAGTAAAATTTTACTTGGAAGTGGAAGATTTCCTAAGCTATCCTTTGTACTTCCACATTTCACATTAGATATATTCCATAAAATTTATGTCTGAGTGAGAACATTCTAACAGATCATGATATTGATTTAAAGCCATACTTTATTTCTAACAGAAATACATGTATGACAAGAATGATAGCTGCAAGGAAAATTTATGATGGTGCATTAGTCCGTTTTCACGCTACTGGTAAAGACATACACGAGACCGGGCAAATTACAAAAGAAACAGGTTTATTCGACTTACAGTTCCATGTGGCTGAGGAAGCCTCACAATCATGGTGGAAGGGGAAAGGCACATCTCACATGGTGGTGGCAAGAGAGAGAATGAGAGCAAAGTGAAATGGGTTTTCACTTATCAAATAATCAGATCTCTTGAGACTTATTCACCACCATGAGAATAGTATGGGGGAAAGTGCCCCCATGATTCAATTATCTCCCACTGGGTCCCTCTCACAACACATGGGATTTATGGGGGTACAATTCAAGTGGTTTGGGTGGGGACACAGAGCCAAATTATATCATTCTGCCCCTGACCGCTCTCAAATCTCATGTCCTCACATTTCAAAACCATTCATGCTTTTCCAAGAGTCTCCCAATGTCTCTCAAAACTCTACATTCCAAAGTCTTATCTGAAGCAAGGCAAGTCCCTTCTACCTATGAGCCTTTAGAATCAAAAGAAAATTATTTCTTAGACACCATGGGGGTACAGGCATTCAGTAAATACAGCCATTCCAACTTGGAGGAATTGGTGGAAACAAAGGGGCTACAGGTCCCATGTAAGTCCAAAATCCAGCAGGGCAGTGAAAGTTTAAAGTTCCCAAATGATCTCTTCTGACCCCATGTCTCATAATCCAGGTAATGCTGATGCAAGAGGTGGGTTCCCGCTGTCTTGGGCAGCTCTGGCCTTGTGGCTTTGCAGAGTACAGCCTCCCTCCTGGCTGCATTCAGGGGCTGGTGTTAGACTGTCTGTGGCTTTTCCAGGTGAACAGTGCAAGCTGTTGGTAGACCCTCATCTACCATTCTGGGGTCTGGAGGACAGTGGCCCTCTTCTCACGGCTCCACTAAGTGGTGCCCCAGTGGAGACTATGTGTTGGGGCTTCCACCCCAAATTTGCCTACCTCACTGCCTTAGCAGAGGTTCTCCATGAGGGCCCTGCTCCTGCAGCAAACTTTTGCCTGGGCATCCAAGTGTTTTCATACATCTTCTGAAATCTAGGCGGAGATTCCCAAGACTCAGTTCTTGACTTCTGTGCACCCATAAGATCAACACCATGCGGAAGCTACCAAGCCTTGGGCTTCCACCCTCTTTTTCCAGCTTGAGCTATACCTTGGCCCCTTTTAGCCACAACTGTAGTGGCTGGGACACAGGGCACCAAGTCCCTAGACTGTACACGGCAGAGGGACCTGGGCCCAGCCCATGAAACCATTTTTTCCTCTGGGCCTGTGATGAGAGGGACTGCTGCAAGGTATCTCTTACATGACTTGGAGACATTTTTCCCATTGTCTTTGTGATTGACACTTGGCTCCTCCTGACTTATGCAAATTTCTGCAGCCAGCTTGAATTTCTCCTCAGAAAATGGGATTTTCTTTTGTTTCAAATTGTCAGGATGTAAATTTTCTGAACTTTTATGCTCTGTTTCCCTTTTAAAATTGAATGCCTTTAACAGTACCAAAGTCACCTCTTGAATGCTTTACTGCTTAGAAATTTATTCCACCAAATACCCTAAATTATCTCCCTCACGTTCAAAGCTCCACAAATCTCTAGGGAAGGGGCAAAATGCCACCAATCTCTTTGCTAAAACATAACTAGAGTCACCTTTGCTCCAGTTCCCAACAAGTTTCTCATTTCCATATGAGACCACTTCAGCCTGCATGTCCTTGTTCATATCATCAGTATTTTGGTCAATGTCATTCAACAAGTCTCTAGGGAGTTCCAAACTTTTCCACATTTTTCTGTCTTCTTCTGAACCCTTCAAACAGCTCCAGCCTCTGTCTGTTACCCAGTTCTAAAGTCACTTCCACATTTTCAGGTGTCTTTTCAGCAATGCCCCACTCTAGTGGTACCAATTTACTGTATTAGTTCATTTTCACACTGCTGATAAAAACCTATGTGAGCCTGGAAAATTTATAAAAGAAAGAAATTCATTGGACTTACAGTTCCATGTGGCTGGAGAGGCCTCACAATCATTGCGAAAGGTGAAAGGCACATCTCACATGACGGTGGCAAAAGAGAGAATGAGAACCAAGTGAAACAGGCTTCCCTTTACCAGACCATCAGATCTCATGATACTTATTCATAAGAGAAGTATGGGAGAAACGGCCATGAGGGCAGTATGGGAGAAATGGCCCTCATGATTCAATTATCTCCCACCATGTTTCCCACACCACACTTGGGAATTATGGGAGTACAATTCAATTTGAGATTTGGGTTGGGTCACAGAGCCAAACTGTATCAGATGGTTTGGGTAATTTAATGTGCCTTTTTCTTTGAGGCTTGAGGTGCTTAACCCTGGGTCCATACACAATACTAAAATTTAGTTTGAGTGAAGGGTATGCTTTCCTAAGTGAAAGAATTTTTAAAAGAGGATTAGACCTGGAAAATCTACAGTGCCATGAAACACATTCCCAGGCAAATCACTTTTTATAAAGTGGAAGTTGAGAAATTAGAAATTAATTCTTTTTAAATTACCTCCTTGGGTATCCATGAGAAAGTCTTCTGGGAAAGGTAAATTGCTGTCTAATATGAAGAATACAGGTTTAGAAATAAAGGGCAGATCATTTTCTAATGATCACTTATTTCTTGAAAGTGGAAGGGAACTTTTAGAGAAAAACATAAACTGCTGTTTTTTTTCTTTGAAATAGGATAGAGTTTATGTTTCTTCAGATGCTTTGATGTCTACATATTAATCCCATTGCTCATTCTTCATTTGCATCTAAAGACTGAGCTGAAACAAGTGAAAAATACAAGAATGGAATGTCCAGATGATACATCTAGTAACTCTTCATCTAATTTTTTATGCTCCCTTGATGCTGGAACTTAGTAGTATATGTTGTTGTTTTTTCTATCCTTGCTCTCTTTATATGGCATCCTTTCAATTTCTAGTTTTACTTTCCTGCCAGTTCTTGAAATGTTGTCTTGTCTCCAGCCTACTACTTAACAATTCCGTGTTGCCATATTCAACAACAAAATGAGTGTTCTGATCTCTAAACCTTTCAGGGCCTCTACTTTAGAGCAGTCATTCATTTCCAGTTCACTGATAAGGAACATGTTGGCAGAGTCAAACAAATCAATGGAGGAAATCCACAAGCACTCCTTCTTGCATCGCAATTCTGACTTGCCTTTTTACTTAGTGTGTTTTTGCTGATTAGGACTTTACTGAGGTTTATGGACCCCTTTTTTTTTCTACCTTCAAATAGAAATATCTAAGATTCATTATAATTTTGAAAACACAATTTTAGAATGTATCTAAGATAAAAAAAATAATTTTCAAGTAAGAATTATGGCTCACATATTAATAAAATGAACACAGGTCAAATATTTAAGTCATTATTTAAATGAGAGGACTGGAAATAAGTTACACCTGGTTTGAAGGTGAATCCAAAGGAAAGCGATGTATAGATGTGGAATGTTGAATAAATCTGGAAACAGATGCAAAACTCGCTTCTAATGCAGTTGAGGAAGAAACGCAAGTGAATTTCCACAGAATTAGTTTGCCTACCTGTACACAAGAATTATTTTGCATTGATATTAATTATTTACAACTTAGTGTTACCAAATAATTCAAAAGTAAATGAAAGGCACAGAGTCTCTAACAGGGTTAAATAAATTGGAAGGGTGTGTTCTAAAGAATACATAGTTTCCCATATAGGAACACTTTTATTGCAAATGTCCTAAATTTTTTCTTACACAATATGGGGCATATTATTGCCTTTGTACCTTAAATGGTTTTAAAATATTTCTCAAAATGGGACTAGAAATATTCTTGACATTTTTTCAAAACACATCATGATGAAATTAAAGGAGTTTTTCTCTTTTGTGCATAAGTATATTTTGTTAATATTAGGGAATAGATTTATGTATATACATGTATTTATAAAATAAGGTAAATTTGCAAGGTTAACACATGTTCCTGTCACAGTTAATGTATGAAAAATGGTTATATTATTTTTTGAAAAAATCAGGGACACAGTAATTGTGTTACCACAGGGTGTGGTTGTTGGAGATAAGGAAAGCTCTGAGTCTTGAATGTGTTACTTCTGATATGATATTTCTGAACTTTTTTTCCTCATGTGTGGTAAAACATTCATTTTATAGATCAAGCTTAGATTCCTGTACTCTCCACATTGCTATATTAATGATCTTACATTGTTAACAAGTAAAATAAAATAGCTGTTTCAAAGCATAAATCACATCACATCTGATGGAAGTAAGAGATTTTTGAGAAGGTTTTCTTGTTAGCTTTGCAACATTTTATTCATCAGACATCTGTACTGTGTAGGGGCAGAAAGTCTGTGATATCTTTCCTTACCCATCATGAGTCACAGCTGACACTCCTGTAACAAAAGAAAAACACAGCAAATCTACTTAATCATAGTGTTAAAGGACATAAAGCCTTCAGAAATGAAGACCCGAAGACCCAAGGGAAAATTGTCACTTTTGTGCTTAGTTTTGATGAAGACTGGACAGCTGTGTAGAAATGTAATTGGACAAAAAGGAAACAATATAATAGTAACAGACTGAGTGGGAAAACCCAACACCACCTGTGTGTCAAGATTCCTCTTGGCCTTTTTGCACGGCATTCCTTCCTCCCAGGTATAGGGCAGGAGCTCTAAAATGAGGATTTTATTACCAACTACAAAACATGGGTAGGTCAGAAAATTTATTTACGGCAGGTTCTTGACAGAAAGGTGAGAGATGGTTAAAGTAGGAATCCTAGTTGTTATGGCTGGCTATGGGGAAACGGGGTTCTAGTTTCTATGACTCACTTTTGGGAAGAGGAATTCTGGTTTCTATGACTAACTTCAGGGAAGAATGAAAAGCGAGAGGCAGGAGGGCAGGATTAGGTGGGAGACTTTGAATATGAGGCTGCTTCTGAGTCCTTCTAATGTCCTTTAGTTCAATATACTGAGCATTCCAAATCACCTTAATCTGGGGTACCACCATTTTCTGAGCCCCAACAACTTCTATAATGTCAGGTTTTATTCCTTTTGATTCATGAATTAGCGTAGGTAAAATTTCAAGATAGTAACTCCTTTATTACAAGGGTTTTTTTTTTCTTTCCCCCTTATAATGCATTATTACTCTTGTATAACATTATTTTATTGAAATATAGCATGACATCTAAAAACAGTGACCATTTACTTATAAAATGTATTTCCTCTGAATGGGATACACACTATCCACTAAGATTATAACTGACTCATACTTTTAGCAGATGAGACGGAATTCCTTTTTTAGCAATAAAGTTCTATGATGAGTTCCCTGAAAGCTGAGCATGTGTGCCCTGTAGTTTAAAAGCACAGATACTAAAAGCCATTTTATTGACTTGAATGACAATGTATTTTACATAGAGGCTAAAAATGACTGTTCACTCTTTTGCAAGATTAAAGAAACTGCATACTATCAAAATGCTGTGGGCATGGGGCTGATTGAACCTTGGGAAATCTGAGTGCCTGAAAAGATAAAACACAAATACTAGTGGTGAGTTAGCTGGCTTAAGTGAAATGGAAAGTCTTGCTTGATAGTTTACTTGAAAAAAAATCCTTTAAAAGGAAGTAAGTGGGGAAAAAGCAGGGATTAGTAATAACAACCAAAACAAAGCAAAAAAAATTCTTAATAACAACAGTCATTTTCACCACAGGCCTTAGTAAAATACATCATTTGAAATTCCCCAATTATGCCCACATGTTGTTGTTTGAGAATGAGAAGTGAAAAAGCAGTGCCCTAGATTTTATTGCTTCAAATTACTTGGCTCATTATGTGGTGATCTACCACCATGTAAAATGTGTGTCAACTCTTGTTATAAACTGACCCTTTAGAGCACATTTAAGATGGTTTCTAACCCTGAACTGCAAATGCATGTGTTCACTTGTCCAAATTTAAATGTTTGGCTTAAATAAAAATATGCCATTTAAAATGATTTTAAGTGTGTTGTACTATATAAACTCACATACATGCAAATGTTCATTTAAAAGTAATTTTCTGTTTGACAAAACAAATATTTGCCTGAAAGTAAGTAGGATTACAGAGTTGTTATTTTATTTTCCTACTTTTCAAATGAAATTTGAGTTATTTATCTTCTGAAAATGAGGATTAAATTGACTAGTTAAAACGTGAGAAAAAGATTAAACCAAGATACTGGCAAATGCTGCAGATAGATAGCCAATAGTAAAATAATAAGGCTTGTACATTCAAGCCATCCCTGAACTTTGATGTCGTTTTTTAAGTGAACGTAATGTCAATAACAGTAAAGTAATCACATTGTAACACAAAATTAGTAGGAAAACTGGGGTTTTTAAATGGTAAAACTTTCCTGATTGTTTTGCATATACAGTTTACATGATACATGATACTTGGAGCATTCTCTTGTTTCATTACCTCATTATGGCTGATTGGGAATTATTAGCATCTAAAGTGGTAAAATTTCACAATTTTCAGAAGGCTTCTGGACTAATGGGATCACTGAATTAAGCATAATTAAAGATAGTGTACTGCAGACAGCAGGATCCATTTTAGAAATATGAGAAAGAACTCCAAAGATGGATGGTATTCATTAATTCACTTATACAATTTGCCATTTTACAAATGGTTTCATTAATAAAGATTGATCACATTACAAGGGCCTATGATTCACCAGAAAAACTGCTGTTTGTTTTCATTTGTTGTATTCTTAACTTATAAAAATTGTCATTGTTGATAAGTAATTTATTTGATTTACACAGGTAGGTACAAAATAACTCATACAATAATACTATATCTTGCTGCTTCCCTAATATATATACAGATGATATGTGTATTAGTTAATATATATATGATAGTTTCTAAATAAGATGCAGATTTTCAAACTATTATGAGTATGTATCTTAAGATATTAATAAAATATTTATAAATTTTTAATTATTTTCCAATATCTGTTATGCACTCATAATTATATTTGCAAGTAAAATATAAACTAAAATGTGTTCTTTTTAAATGCAACAGTATGTCATATTTGTGTAAGCTATTAAGAGTTTGCAATGGGCAACACAATTTTAAAGTAGACAGAAATGCACTAGTGTTGTTCAGTTTATAGGAAAAAAAAGTGGAATTTCAGGGTAAAGAAACATATTCAAGTGAGTTCAAACACATTTTTCAGTTTTGTTATTTTCATTAGAGTTTTTTTGTACATAGTTTCTGTTTTTCTATTTTTAAATTTTTATGGGTACATTGTAAGTATATATATTTATGGATTATATGAGATATTTTGATGTAGGCATGCAATATGTAATAATCACACCAGAGTAATGGGGTTATCCACCAACTCAAGTATTTATCATTTGAGTTATAAACTATCAAATTATACTCATTTTGCTATTTTTAAATGTGCAATTACATTATTTTTTCACTGTACTTATTATTTTGTGCTAGCAAACACTAGCCTCTGATAACCATACTTCCCAGCTTCTGATAACCATTCTTCTACTCTCTATCTCCATGTGTTCAGTTCTTTTAAATTTTAGCTTCCACAAATAAGTGAGAACATGTGAAGTTTGTCTTTCTGTGCCTGGCTTTTTTCACTTAACACATGACCTCCAATTTTATTCATGTTGTTGCAAGTGACAGGATTGCATTTTTTAGGGCTAAATAGTATTCCATTGTGTACATGTACCACATTTTCTTTATCTATTCATATGTTGATGGATGTTTAGGTTGCTTCCAATTCTTGGCTATTGTAAACAGTGCTGCAACAAACATGGGTAAGCTTTTAAATCATATTGATTTGACTTTTGTATATGGTAAGAGATAGGGGTCTAGTTTAATGCTTCTGCATGTGGATATCCAGCTTTCCCAGCACCATTTATTAAAGAGACTCTTATTTCCTTAGTGTATATTCTTGGCACCTTTGTTAGAAATGAGTTCTCTGTATGTATGAGAATTTGTTTTTGGGTTCTCTATTCTGTTCCATTTGTCTATTTGTCTGTTTCTATGCCAGTACCATGCTATTTTGGATATTATAGCTCTGTAGTATAATTTAAATTTGGGTGACGTGATTCCTCCAGTTTTGTTATTTTTGCTTAGGATAGTTATATCTAGTCTGAGGTTTTTGTGGTTCCATATAAATTTTAGAATTTTTTTTCTATTTCTGATAAAAATTTCATTGATATTTTGATAGGAATTGAATTATATATTTAGATTACCGTGGATAATATGGATATTTCAACAATATTGATTTTTTTCAATCCACAAATATGGAAAGCCTTTCATTTTTGTGTGTCCTCTTCAATTTTTGCATTGATATTTTATAGTTTTCATTGTAGAAATCTGTCACTTCTTTGGTTAATTCCTATTTTATTTTATTTGTAGCTGTTGTAAGCTGAATTAATTTTTGACATCCTATTTAGATTCTTTGCTGTCTGCATGTAGAAATGCTTTTTATTTTTGTATGTTTATTTTATATTCAGGAACTTTACTGAATTTGTTTATCAGTTGTAATAGTGTCTTGGTGAGAGACTTATGGTTTCTTCAAATATCAGATCATATCATCTGCAAACAAGGATAATTTGACACCTTCCTTTCTAATTTTGATATTCTTTATTTCTTTCTTCTTTAAAATTGACCTAGCTAGGACTTCCTGTACTATGTTGATAAACAGTGGTGACGGTGGGCATCCTTGTTATGTTTCAGATCTTAGAAGAAAGACTTTCAGTTTTTCTCAATTTTCAGTATGAAACTATCTTGAGTCTATCATATATGTTTTTTTATTATGTTGAGGTATGTTCTTTCTATACTCAATTTTTTAAGGGTGTTTATTCTGAAGGGATGTTGAATTTTATCAAATGCTTTTTCAGCATCAATTTGAATGATCATATGATTTTTGCCCTCCATTCTGTTGGTAAGTTGTAGCACAGTGATTGATTTGCATAAATTGAGCCATCCTTAAGTTCTTGGGAAAAATTTCACTTGGTCATGGTAAATGATCTCTTTAATGTATTGCTGAATTCAGTTTTCTAGTAATTTATTGAGGGTTTTTTTGGTATCAATATTCATCATGGATATTGACCTGTAGTTTTCTTTTTTTGATGTGTCTTTAGTT